TCAAAGGAGGAATCTCATGCATGTAGAAGCGTCGTTAGTTATGGAAATGGTCCAGTTATTTACATCGAGGTTTCTACACGCTTGTTACGCTGTCATTTTCTCTGAGTTTCCTTTGTTGAATAAAAAATTGTCAATGAAGGACCGCGTTTTGCGACATGGTATCAGAGAAGGTCAAGGGAAGATCGCCGATCAGTGCTCAGCTGCTGATTGGAGCGCAGCCAGCAGTGCGAAAACTTGCTCCGTTGAACATGGAAGAAGACACCATGGCCAGTAACTGCAGAATCTGGAAAAGCGTGGATCGATTTTTGCGTACTGGTGTGTTTGAATGAACACCCGATGATGTATCGCCTGACGATGTTTAGACATACGATCGGAGATGAAGCCCGCCTGCTCCCTGGAAACGATGCATTACGAAAAGAACGAAAACTCAGCTGATCTAGACACTGATATCGGAAAATTCGGCGATCTCTGAGAGAGTCAAACTAACGAGACTTATCAGTGGTATTTCATTTTTACCCGAAACAGATACCCAGACGAATCTATCAAGCACTATGTTACGAAGCTGAAGATCCTGGCTCGTTCCTGTAACTTTTGCAATTTTATGGCTGACAGTCTCATCCGAGATAGAATCATGCTTGGGATCAATAATGAAAACGTCACCAAACGGCTGTTGGGGCAACGACAGTCATCGCCCAGAAAATACCTTGATATATGTGTCAATGAATCATCAGTTACACGCCACATCCGGCGAATGCGATTACCATATGATGCAGAGCTATGTGCCGTGTCCAGTTTACCTGCCAAAATTGTGAAGCCTGTTACCAGGACACAAGAAACTTGCAAATTCTGCGCCGCTCGACACCCGAAGGATCATGATCAACGTCCGGCGTGGGGTCAAATTTGCGCCAAAATTGGCAGACGAAATCCCTTCGCCCGATAATTCCAGTCACCCACAGTGAATGCACGCAGTCGTGACACAACACCCTCCGGTTCAATCCGCAACGTGTCGGAGACGGGACCAAAGAGGTGCGCTTCCAGCTAGACACCGCTGCTACCATCAATATGATACCTGCAAAGTGGTGTCCAGGAAATCATACGCGACCAGATCAGGATTTCTTGCGCATTTAGGACGGCTCCAAGCTCCAACCGAAGGAGATGGCCACAATCGAAGTGAGCAATCCCAAAAACGGATCCTCACATCATTTGAATTTCGTGGTCGTGGAGGAAGATCTCACGCCGATTCACAGCATTGATTCCATTCATTACATTGGATTTGTTCATTTTAACCATGATCGTTTTATGCATACCTCTCGAGCGGAGACAGATGTAAGTGAGCAATTTCCGTCCGTGCTTAGCCCAGATTTGAGGGGCTTTGAAAGTTTCTTTCACTTGTCATTAGATCTATCAATATGACCAATTGCGCTGCCGCCGATAAAGGTTCCCTTTGCTTTACGTGATAAATTCGCCACCGAATTAAGTGACTTGATGCAATTGGGCGTAATCACTATGGTCGATGAGTCAACAGATTGGGTTAGCCAAGTGGTGATTGTTACGTAAAAGAACGGAGTTTTGCGTCTGTGCATAGATCCTAAGCCATTGAGTGAATCTTTACGCAGGGTGTGCTATGCGCTGCCAACGTTAGAAAGTGCCCTGCCGTGTTTGACTAGGGCAAGATAGTACACAAAAAGTCGATCTATCATCCGCGTTCTGGCAAATGATCCTATATGAGGACTCCACTTTCCTGATGAGGTTCGCCACACGCTCCGAGCTATTTTGCTGCCACCTTTACCGTTTGGTTTGAAGCTTTCGAGAGAAATCTTACAAAAGCGCTTATTTCAAATTGTTGACGAGCTAGACGGTGTAATATTTATGGCAGACGAGGTGCTGATTTACTGCTCGACCGAGGAGGAACATGACGTCAAACTGCACCATGTTTTGCATCATTGTGTGCAAAACAAGATGAATCTCAAACTCCAGCAAGTTGAGCTCCGGAAATCGGAAGTGCTTTTTCATGAGCAAGTTTAGACATCCGAGGGAATAAAGATCGATCCCGGGAAAATCAAGGCAGTGCAGAAGGTGCCACAACCTGAGGACATCAAAGCTGTTAGTCGCTTGAATGGCATGATGAATTATTTGAGCCGTTTCTTACCAAGGTTGGCTGAAATTATGACGCTCATCCGGAGGCTGACAAATAAGGGAGTAAAGTAGAGTTGAGGAAAAGAGCAGGAGATCGTCTTTATAACCATCAAGCATCTCATCAGCTGTGCACCAGTACTCGGCTACTATGAGTCAGTTCTGTCTTTGGAGGTGCAATGTGACAGTAGTCAGAGCGGAATAGCCACCGTTCTCAAGCAAGATGGTAAACCCTTGGATTTTCGCAGTTGGGCGCTCACAGTGGCGGAACAGCGCTCTGCACAGATCGAAAAGATGCTCTCTGTTGTCTATGCGATGGAGCGATTTAGCGATTACGTCTTTGGGAGAAAGATCACTATGTATGTTGACCATAAACCGCTCGTATCAAAAGCCAGAAAACTGTCAAATAGTGTCCCTCGAACTCTTCAAAGAATGCTTATCCAGTTCCTAGAATAAGGCATGGATCTTGTGTGCACGGGTACGCAGATGTTTATGGCGGATGCTCTGTCGAGAGCACATCTTCCGATAGTCGAACATCAACAAGAAATTGAGGCCGTAAATCTGGTGTGACATCTGGCAGTAACGGAAGATCGCCTGAAACAAATAAGGCGTCATGGGGAGGCAGACACGACATGCGTGGCGTTGTGAGACATTATTTCGAGTGCATGACCATACACAGTGGACAAACTTTCGAAGTAAATAACGCCATTCTTCAACTTTCGGGATGAACTAACGGTTTGCTATGCAAAGGAACGCGCGTTTTGATCCCACAGTCGGTTTGCAAAGAGATGCTAGGACACACTCACCGAGCCCATTTGAGTGTTAACTACAGCATTAACAGAGTACACGAACTGGTGTTCTGGTCCGGGATGAAGAGTCAAATCCGAGATCTAATCTCAAGCTGTTCAGCCTGCCAGTCCCACGAGGCTCGCCAAAACCAGAGAACCAATAATGCTGCGTTAGATTCCAGATCGACCATTGTAGAAAGTAGCAGTTGGCATGTTCTGTGATAATGTGAAATACTACTTAATCACAGTGGACTACTACAGTGGCTATCTCGATATTGCTCCACTCGCCACTACCACCACGGAAGCAGTCATCAATAAATTTAGATGTCAGTTCGCCAGACAAGGAGCACCGGAGAACTGATCTCCGACAATGGCCAACAATTTACAAGTGCTACGTTTCAGACAAGTAGTAATTTTCGCATCAACAAACCAACCCGTATCACAGCCTGTCTAACAGAAAAAGGGATGCAACTGTAAACCGAGCCAAGAAGCTGTTGTCGAAGGCTAGAGCCACTCATGGAGATGCATATATGATGCTGTTGGAAATTCGCAACAAGACATCACCGAACATCGGTCTCAGTCCAGTTCAACGTCTGTACAGCAGAAGGAAAAGAACCCTAATGCCTGCGTCGGTGGAACTTTTGCACCCGGACTTGCCATCGCGTGAGTAGCTGCAAAGGAATTTAAGAAAGCGGATAGCTGATCAAAAACGATGTTACGATTGCGTGACCCTGGTGCGACCTGAGCTATCAGTAAGTGATGAAGTGTGGATCTAAACAAATACCGGGTGTCAGCGAAAGATGAAAGAAAGATATAGTGACTGCGAAGGTTGTGGAAAATCTTGCGAAGTCAGTACTGGAGGGAAAGTAACCATAAAGAACCGAGTGCAGCTGAGGCGACACCGCGAACGAGAAGGAGAATCTGCAGCAAAGCATTTGACGGCTAACGGAGAGGTCACAACCATAGGGTAGCCAAGACAACGCAAAGTGGAAGAATGTACGGCGACCCCGATGCAGCTGATCCCGAAAAAAGAAAGATGTGCTGAGATTGTGCAATCACAAGAACGACACGAATTTACATAACGAAGCAAACAGCTGGCTTGTCGCAAGCGGAAAGAGCAGTTGATTGGAACACTAGACATATCTCAACTACGCGCTGATTGGTTCTTATTTGACTATGCTGAAGCAGGTTTGTTCGACTGTATGCACGAATGTAGGAGCGTCGTTAGTTATGGAAATGACCCAGTTATTTACATCGAGGTTTCTACACGCTTGTTGTGCTGCCATTTTTGCTGAACTTCCTTTGTTGAATAGACCATTTGTCCCTGAAGGACTGTGTTTTGCGACACGGATCATCTGTCTTTCTACCCATAATGTGTCCAACTTCATTCGATTCAAGCTATACTTAAAGTCAGAGCTGTCAATTCCTTCAGAATGACCCGATGCGTTCAACTGGTTTCTTTCTTGACAGGGTTGTTGCACTCTCTTTTTCGGAGGTTATACAACACGCCAGAGACAGAAATGTTGCGAGCTGAATTTCTGTAGCCGGTTTAGGTGCGTCATATGCGCACCGAGTGGTCCAAAAATTGTATGACCCTTTTACTGTTAAATGACATGCATGTTAGTTTTATGCGGCCAATCGCACTTTGAAGATGCCAAAAAGTCCACTACATTGCGAGTAGGTACATGCCAATGTAAGCCCCCAGTGGTGAGGGGAGGCGATACATAGTGGTGACAGATGAACCCATTAAGTTCCCCAAATCGGCATGTTCTACTCTTTCAAATAGTCTGACGGTCCATACCATTTCTCCATAAAGCTTTGTTTAAGCCTTGTATGTTGAGTGTTAAGATAAATCAGTTAGATAAAAATAGAGTACACCACTCGAGTCTATACTCTGGGGTTAGGCTTTCGAACTTATTATTGATGAGTAATGAGGATTTTTGTGTAGTTTTAAAGGCATTTCGTCGTAGTCCCTCTCAGGCACGCAGGTTCCTACGCATCTGAAAAAGTGAATAGACACCGTTTTTCGCTGGACTGTTTCAATCGGATAAGAAATAATATTATTCGCAGCTGACTCACTTTTTCGACTGTGAACCATTTCGGTAATGCTGCATCAATTTATCTTCCAGGTGTTGTTTGTGACGTTGCGGGGAGAATAGTCGATCTCTAAAGAAACATGACGAGAGAAGTCAATTCAGTCACTAATAACAATTTGGGCTTAATGGAACAATGCACTTTTGAAATGAGAATCAAATGCCCTGTGTTAATTCGTCAAGTTAAAGCAATCCTTCGAGAAGGCAGTATTCACGGTTAACTTGCACGTAAAATAGAGATCAAAGTGAATTTCAAACAGGGGAGTACGACACGACCTTAGCACTGTGTTTACCTTATCAGACCAACCTCGGTCAAGTGATTGCTGAATAGTGCCGTTTTCGTTGGAAACGGCTCCTGATTCTGTCCCAATAATGCTTCAAACTGTATAATGAAGGTGCGATTTTCTTCCTCCAGTTTACTGTTCCTATTGGACAAAGTCTGCGATAAAGACAATGCGGTGGGGGGGACAAGAAGGATTGAGGCATGAGGATTTCCTTGGTATATACGGAAAGAACCATAGATATAAATGCGAAATTAGATTGTTGAGCCATTCGGTGGCATACAGTAGCGCTTATCGGTTTTTGATAGTAGATGTGCGTTGATCTCAGCGTATTGACTCTTCGTGCAAACACGCCTTAGTTTCCTCGCAACAGGCGGCCGGACACCGGTTTTTGAAGAGGACCGGAATTCATCAAACTAAATCATTTCCTAATGCCATTCCTAATACCATTCAACTCGATTTCTGTGTTGTTTTGCGTAAGTTGTCAAATTACTCGAGGCGAACATTTGTTGCGTCATTGGAGCCGCATTGCACCTTGCGATTCACTTGCTTTTCCCTTTACGTCAGCTGTACTGGTAGATCGTTCGTTACTCACCAGATGATCGCAATTACGCCCAGAGATGGTAGTCACAAGTCGAACCCAGTAAGTCTACTTGTTTTGCGGTCTGCAAGGGTAGAGCACCGTGCCTATCTATGGCTAAGCTCGTCACCGTCTTGTGTGAGCAGACTTTTGTGCAGCATTTGTGGAATAAAATTTCCACTAAACCCTTACCCAGGCCAGTTTTACAAGACTAAATCCCAACATGCAGTAAGTACATTGGAAAAATCCAGACCGAAGGGTTGCACTTTGTTCTGTATGTGAACCGCGAGAGCTGACAGAAATAATTGAAGTCTACTCCCATGGCTCACGCGTTCTTCTCTACAAAGCTCTGCCATCACACTACGTGCTGAGTACGTAATTGGACACAGTGGTGACATCCGTTGGAGTGCAATGAAAAGACATCGTATTACATGTACTGAAACAAACAAGTGGAATATTGTCGAGTGGTAAAGGATCATCTATATCGCGACTCAGGGCAGAGTTGGTTATGCAGAAATTGGAGGAGGATGTACTGCCACTCATCAATCCGAAACTTTGGGTTCGGTATGTGAAGGACACTTCTGTGGTAGTCAGGTGCAGCCAAAGAAATGTCGCACAACAGCTACTGCATAACACAATGGAGACATCTAATTTACAATGGAACAAGGCAAGTAAAGACAGCTGTCTTTCTTGGACGTATTAGTACCAAGAACCACGGAATGGGAGCTACAAACATCGGTCTAGAGAAAAGGCACAAGTACAGACCGAATTCGGAACTTCAGCAGCAACCACCCGAAATGCCCCTAAGTAAGCTGTGTGCGGACACTATTTCGCAAAGTGCAAACACACTGAAGTACCACGGAAGCAAAGCAAAATGAAGTATAGTATCTATTTAAGTCTGTCCAACTCAACGGATACCCGCTAAACTTCATCCGGTGTTTGAATCACAACAACGTCAACAGACGGTCTACGACAACGACGGAGAGACTAGTTGTTCTGCCTTATCTGAAGAACATATCGGAAAAGGTAACCAGACTGCTCAAACAACATCATCTCATTGCAGCACGCAAACCAACTGCCACGTTGAGAAAAACTGTTAAAATCAAAAGAAAATCTGCAGGCCCATGAACAACAGAATGTGGTATACAAACTACGTTGCCGAAATTGCGAAAGTGACTATGTTGGCCAGATAGGAAAAAAACTGCAAACTAGGATGCATGAACATAAAAGTGCCTTTGTAAAGGATTATGCATCGTCGCTAGTTGCATTGCACGTGGGTAAAAACGGGCATAGCTTCGACTGAACCAAAACAGAAGTCTTGACACGAGGTGAAACAAGAAGAGAAAGGGAAATCCTAGAGGCTTGGTTCTCAACAATGAACTCAATTAACATGCGCATCGACCTGGACTCAGTATACCAACCACTACGAGAAAAAAGTAAGGAAAATTCTGCACGCGACTAAAAGCGGGACAATTCGGGCGACGACTTCAGTCCGGGGGAAGTGAGTAGAGATCACGGGACGCAAATCGAGGCTGCCATTTTCAAAAGTCACCTGTATGTCTATCACGGATCGACGATTCATTCAGTAAGATCGCACACTGCACCTCATTGCACTGAGGATGCCATTTCGCTTGGTAATGAAAGGTTTTCAACCAAACCGCTAAGCTCGGAGAAAAAATGAACATTTGGTAAGGGACACGTTCACCTTAAGAAGACGAGTTCCTGAACGAGCACAGCGCCTTATGAAGTAAGTCCAAGACAATACCTGATAATTTAATCCCATTCCATACAAGGTTAAGCTACCTGATACAACGTATGCTCGCACACCGTCTACTTCAGACTCTTGCCATTTTAGGGTTAGGTTAAATGACGACGCCATGCTTACAGGTAGAGACAGAAATGGGTTTTCTTTCGCGCCAGTGGATCGCTAAATCACACTACTGTCTCAGGTTATGTAGGACATGGCGTAACTAGCGCTCATACGCCACCCTCCACTTGGTGAAGTTCGCAGCCCTCGAGTCTCCGTATCGGATCATTTCTGTCGGTCTCTGAGCCTCTATGAGGTCAATGAAAACAGAGGAATCGTCACTGGTTCATGAATTCCACCTGTCTGTGACAATGCATGTTGCTTGTGTGCACCACAACTAGACCCAGGTCTGACACAACTGGAATACTGCTAAAGATCATTTCGCTTTTTCTGGACTCGCCAACAGTGCGCATTCTAACCTAGTTAGTTGTGCAACCCGAACCCGCGAATCTGCATTCGCGAGTGAGCAGTTAAAACTGCTGAGACATGAAGCCTGAGTCACGAAATGGTGAACCGTGTGATCCTGTGAATTTCCGGAGTTGCGGTGGCTGTCAAACTGACTCCAGTTACCCTGAACCCAACCAATATCATAAGAATCCTCACGTTGCTTTTATAAGTGAATTTAGCACCTGCCAAGTAGGGTTACGACTATTTATGCTACCGAACATAATTCTAAACGGCACCGATAAGAACACCGAGGAGGTAGTGCTGCTTCGTATGCTTTAAATCTTGGATTTGTTTGCCCTAATCTCTGAGTGGCTACGCTTGATGTTAGGTGGATGATTGCTGCATCAGGTTGGGGCTCACTCCGTAAATGCTTTTCTGACAGTTATCTTCAAGCGCTGGGCGGCAGATATTTTCAACAGTGTCTTAAACTGTAAAGTAAGCAATTCTGTTCTGAGGATTCCGAGTATTCACTGAAGGCGATATTCAGTGGCTGTAATGCGGCACGCATTTCAGATTTAGACCATAGAACACCCCCTGTTCATACGCCTCCCTTTAATAATCTTCGCATATGAAGATGAATATGTGCAATCAGTGTCTACAAACAAGCCAGCCAACTGGTAGAACTACACCATGCACAGTTGTCCACAACCTGACCCACATAACTTTATACGATAGTCAGAAATACTGCTTATTATAAACGTACCTGTATTCGCGATCGTAAACTCTCTAGCTCGGTTCTACATTTCCGATCGTTATCCCTCTGATCGGTTAATTCAAAAGTGAGTTCATTCATCTTGTTCTGCAACTCCTCAATTTTCCGCCGATCTTCACGCATTTTTTCCGCCATAATTGACTTCTCTGAACGCTCTCGATCTCTCTCCTTGGCCAACGATTCAATCTGTAAGCGCAGCCGAGAGCAATCTTCTTGTAAATGTACAGACTGCTTTACTCCGCCTGTAGGAAGAATAAAGCAACGATGCAAGTTGAAACAAGACTTGTGGTCGCATGCTAGTGTTAAATTTAAACGTTGCTCATTTACGTTACGTTTGTGTAAGTTTGCAATTGGTTGTTATTGGTTGTTTTCATACTAATACATGTGTAACATTCCCAACTACAAGTTTACTTCAGGTGTTGGCCCACAAGGAGAGACAGGCGAAGACGTAGGCAATATCAGATGCACCGAAGGTCACACACAACAATCGTATGAGAATATCTCTTTTGTCGCTTCATCTTCTTTAAATTTTGTCCAGTCCAATCACTGTACTGAATCCTCTGCCATCATTAGTAACATGTAAGAATAATTTCTAATCTATGAAAATACTTACATCGAACGTTATGCAGAAGATGCACCTACTTATTCCGATTTTGCATCACACCTACCAGGCTGTAAATGTGGCTATATGCGATGACTTTTACTTCTTTGGCCATCTATTTTTCCGCCTGTTCCTCCACTTTGCTGTCGATAGACCTACTCCTCTTTCCTTAGTAGGATTCATGTTGCGCGCAGAAACGCATGGCATACCACATGCAAAGGTTTGCGTGATATTTGACCGGAAGGAGATCACTTCATTGGGGGATAAAACGGTGCACATCACAAAGCGAGCAGGTGTGCTCCTAGACCGGAAGCAATGTGCAGTGTGAATGATTACAACCAAACGACCCCAGCTAAAATATTTGGCCAGCTTCTTAGCCCGTACTTGTGCTTGTGAGGATATTGCAGAATGAATTTAGTATGCAGTTGCTACAATACCATACTTGTAACAAAATTCCGCATTCTAATGCCAACGATTACATTACTTCTGCTCGTCATCTCACCTTTAAATGCATCACGTTCGACTTCCAAAGCATCCTTCAAGACGCGAACTTCCTTGGAAGTCGATTGAAGATGGCTTAGTTCCGCAGATGCCTCGCCCAGACGATGTTTTAGTCGTCGTTGTGTTTCTTTGGATTCTTGTAACGCTTCATTCATTGCATCATAGTCCATAGTCAGCCGTTCATACAAGTTCTGCAGGTGTTTATAGTCAGAGGATATTTCCGCTTCCGCTGTGTGCGCTTCGTCAAGCATAGATTTCAGACGATTAGCTTCGACTGCCGAAAACAAAAGTAGGGGTGTTCGTTTGATTAGACCTGCTGTTGCACCACTTGGTGAAAAAAACACTCTACTAACCATCCACTACCATGTTAGAGTAGGTGTGTTCAATTCCAGTACACTTCTGATGGATTGGTAAACAAGTTGGTTCCAATCCTATCGGAATCAAATGGCTACATCGCGTTCTTGCCATTTCGTACAGTCAGTCGAACTCTTCTGTCTCAGCACTGTCAAAGTAACACGAACATCTTCAACGCATTACCATAAGCATTTTTAGTGTTCAGGGCGACAGTCTTGAAAAACTCCAGTTGTATCCTTTTACATGTCTTTTATCATATTTTATCGGATTAGAACACGGAGATCCGCTCACCCCATTCATACAACTTTATGCTACTATTGAGTTTGAACACGAAAGACGGGAGTAGCTGCTGTTGTAGCAAACGCAAACTGTTAAGTTCGCCACAGCAATGTCTTTGGCTTTCGTGCAGTGAAAGCTGATAAGGCCCAGTAATTTCGTTCGCACAAGAAGTGGAATCACTAGAGAATCGCTCACATGGACATTAGCCCGATCGCGGGTTACTTGGCTTCTGAGTGTGGTCTGTGTGCCTGAAAAAAGACTGTCACGGTGACCGCCGTTCTCTCAGTAAAAGTGCTTGTCGATAAAAGTTAAATAAGTGTTTTATGGGACGAATAGTTATTAACGCGAGAATAGGATCACTGGTGTGCTGCAGTCTAAGTGGCGTCGTGTAACTAACACAGGAACTGGAGTTGCAAAAGATGCATTAAGAGCTTGGGAATAGAATTTTCACAAACAGAGATCTAATATGAAGTGAATCAATTGCTTTCTGTGAAGCACACCATCCGTTCGACATTGCTCCAAAGCATTTCTTTTCTGAGGTTTTCGTAAACCTAGACGGTAGATGATACATTGTCAAAAGAGTCGCTTTTGCTAAGTGGACTGCAGGTGCGTATTGGCCAATAACAGTTTTTACGGATTATCAGCATAAATGTTTACTCTTGAGTTCTGCCGTGCGACCGGAGAGAAACGCATTCTGTGCGCTCAAACTGTCCACTTGACTGTGCAGAGTAGCGTTTTCCACCTGGAGACGCGCGTTTGTGGTGATCAATCCGGCCACATGGTTTTGACTGGACACCAATTGTTTGTTGACAGCGAGAATAGTCTGCTCAAAACGCTCATTAACTATCTGTGGACTATTGTTGGCGTCCCGCTTCTCGTTCTGTGAAAGATAAGAATCAATAGAACGCTGTGTTAGGTATATGTTTATTTCTGCACTACCACTCACAGTGAACAAATAATACAGATACCTGTAGGTTAGAAAATACAAGATCATTAATATAAAAGACTTGTCACCATCCTCATGACTATGCCGCGTATCGAACGTGCTATCTGCCAGGATCCACAGGGTGGTTAGCATTAGCTTACTAAACCACAGTTATCACATGAGCAAATCCACGTAGCCAGGTTACCAATTGAAAAGCTCACTTCGCTTGCCTGTTGGATGAATCCATCCTTCGACATTCCTAATGATAGAGCGCAGTCGGAAGCATCAACCTCGTCTGCTCCTTGAATACAGTGTTGGTCAGAAGCCTGATTCTGTGGTTCTGTAGTCACTCGCCGTATAACGGACGCTGTGCTGAACGTTGGCGTTTCCGATGTACCTCGTCCCAATGACTGATTCGTGTCTTCTGTTATCTGATGCCCTGTACTTTCACTTCTTCGATATTCTTCCAATAGCTGAATTAACAAATCTGCGTGACTATGGCAGAGAAGAGAATCGGTGAAGACTCACACAACATTTCATTAAGGTCAACGAAGAAGGGTTAAATTTGTTGCTAACTGTAGCTTTGCATGTGTTCGAACCTGTTTATAAGCCAAAAGTTCAGGGCAAGTTGAGAAAGTGCTTGATGAAAGCAAAGACACCCATAATTAGCCAGGCCACAGCTTTTATAAAGGGTACTAATTCCTTCCCTTATTACTTAGATGATTGCCCGAGTGTAGGGTCGCGTTTGAGAGCCCCAAATATGAAATGGGTGAGATATGTAGGTTTTCTAGAGCCATATGCGCGAGTTTCGAGAGCTGTACAACTAGCAGTTAGTTAGAATAAGCAATCGCTACTCCGTTAGTGGACAGTGATGGCACAAGATGTAAGCTCCTTTAATTTATGATTCGTTATTCCTTATGAAGTACACTATCGTAGAATGGAAGCGTTGGTGGTAGTCACTGGGGTTGACCGAAAAGACCGCACAGTTTATTCATGCACTCAGTGATGTGGAACGGATTTGAGCAGCAAGTGAATAACCGCGTAGGCAAGGTCAGACAATCAACTCGTCTTCCAGGTGGCGCCTTATCTTCTTCAACACAACACAACCGAAAGCATTGAAATGAGGAGTCGTGTAACCCACGTGGCAACTCACGTCCATTCTCCCTCTTTAGGGGAAGAAGGCAACGAGAAGGTACACATCCCAACTGAATACCATGAAGAAATAGACACCCAAACGTGCGCGTGTAGGATTTTCAACATGCTGTCCTGTTTGATGGTGAACTTTGATAATGTCCTTAAAATCTACACACAACTGGTGCTTGCTGAAGAGTAACAACGAAGAAGGAATGCGCCAACGGTATGGCCATAATTTATGTCTGTGTTATGGAATAAAAAATATATGAAAGAGGCTAGAAGTGGGTCTTAATCCAGCTGGTTTCGCAGCCAGTAAGGTACCTTGAGAATAATGGCAGAAGCGGTACTCATGGCCTAATAACTGAATGTGATGAAGCAAGAGGAATCGCGACCAGGTTGCTGCACCGTCTCTGGTCGGTTTCAGCATCAGTGTAGCAAAAGATAAAGTAGATGAACGAAAGGGGTATTCCACGTCTGTGTCTGTTAAAGCAGAAGCCATCTGCAACGGTTCGTGTCAGACAAGTAGTCGCTTTACTTGTTATGGCTTACTTTACGTTCGAGTCATGGTGCAGAATCCGATCAATGTTTCCTTTATTGAATCCCATTAGCAGGAAACCAGTACGTATGCCGTTCAGTATTGTCAATTGCTGTTCCGTTTTTATCTTCTCCGCAACCAGCTGCTCCTGTAAGACGGCGGACATCTGTTTCTCCACACTTATCTATAAGATCAAAGAGCACAGTTATTAATCCATCCAATGGGCACAAAATAACGTTTTTACTAGCTCAGATGAAACAAACCCATACAACACATGGTCCATTAGGACATGTTGTTATGGACCGAGTGTTTACCGCGGGGTAGGCATTGTCAACTGATCAGTTGTATCGGAATTCAGCTTAAGGCGATGAGAGCAGCAAATTACCAAGCAACTGGGAAAACAGTGATGGCCAGCCTGTCTTCTATCTATTCCCGAAACGTACTAGCAGCATTCCGTTGCGTCGCAATTGAAACTTGGTCCTATGCAAGGACAAAGAAATAATCTTCTTTGAAGATCCAAGCACGGTGCATCTAAGGATTAAAAAGCTTATTACAGAGTTGACTAATGACAAGCATTCCTGTGGCATGTCCAGCCCGCAGCAAAAAAGTTAATTGCTCCAACCAATACGCTGACCCAAATATCCTGTACTTGCACATCCATAAAAGCTCTAGTTCTGTTTCGTTCGAAGGTCTAAGTGCAACACGGCATTGTTATAATCTCGCGAATACCTGGTGGAGCGGCTCGTTCTTGTCCCTAGAGGAGTAGGATAGATTTTTGGTGAACACTACTCGCTCACCGTGTACGTTGCCTTTGACAACGTGTGTGGACGCTGTTGTGCACGAAGTAAAATGTTGTTAGGTGGATTAGATCCATGCAGGTGTGGAATTTAAACCCCGCTTACACACACCATCAATACCACCAGACTGCTCACGTGACAGACGTGAATTTGCGGCTCAATGACGTTAGAGAAAGTTGTATAAGTGACGGTCAGGCTTGCTTTCAGCTCAGCTTAGCCAGGGTCCTGAACGTTAGCAGGCTTTCAAACAGATCATAGTAATGGTCTTAATTACTTTGAAAACCGCTACCGATGCAGCTAAACTCGTTCTTATACTGCACTAGCTGTTGTTCAGGCCGGTGCCCGGGGTTCCCGTGACCATGTACTTGTGTAGATTACATAGAGCCATTGGAGCAGCCTTACCTGTTCATTGGTAAGTAAATCCGTGGTCCACATGAGGAAGAACAACAGCGTCTTGCCTTCTTTCATCTCTTTTGGGCTAGAAGTCATGTTCCGTGGTCAACTGTCACTTAATTGCATGCGTACTATGTAGCGCTATATGAGTCCCATACAGCTGTTTGGCACCCGTTGATGAATGGGCTGACTCAGAGTCTTGCACTCACTCGAGAGATAGATCTCTCGAGGTACAACTCACCGACACAGGACACGTATGAGCCAACCAATTTAGTTATCTTCCGAAAAGTAGCTTGATGTGGTAAATTGATTCATCTTGGTAGGCAAATGTAGTAACTTTGATAGCCGCATCACCGGAGGAATGTGAGTCTTCTAGTTAAATACAGAGTTTAAGAAACTGCAGCCATCTCTGTTGTTGCACGCATCAGAGAAGCGGGCAATGAGCATTGAGGCCTAGAAGAAATCGATGGTGTTCTATCTCTGACGCCTTCAATGTATTGCTTGCATCAAGTGGACGCATCGAACACGCAATACCAACATTCCTCGGTATTTCTTTACCAAACAGCTTTCTTATGCTGTCCGCGTTCAATGTTGAACCCAACCGCCTCTGCTGGTTAGTTTATGCCCTTTTCATGCTTATTTAACTATCAGCACGTTGGTCATTTTCGCGAGCTTAATATCTGCTGGAATGAATCCTCGCGGTACCAAAGGAGCACGTAACAAAAGATCATGAGGCAACTGAACGAAAAACAATTCTCTTGGACCGAACTGCACTTCCTAGTCGTTGTCATAGCATGCGCGATCCGATTTGTGCAGATGTACCCATGAGCTTATTGCCGAAAAGACAACATTGGTTCGTTACAATCCTATTATGCTGGTCATTTTCTTGTACAAGTCATTTTCCTGGTCCTAAGCACTATTGTTTAGATTGCAACCTTAGTCACGGCAACTCTGCTGACGGCATTTGATTGCTCAAGAACTCGATTAGTAGATGTACTCCACTCAACGGTTCTACATATTGCTGAAGAATGGAACGATTTTTCTGCTTTCTCCATTATACAGGCCATATGCCCTTCTCCACTCCAACTCCACAGTCGAATTGTTCTAAGATGATTCCTCTCCGTTCGTTTCATGTTTTGTGAAGGAGCTGCAAGTGATCTGAATGAAAATTTCCTAGCCTGCGGCTGATGTGCCTCGAGTGGAATCGAACGCAACCAATGAAAAATTGATGTTGTATGGAGTGACACAAAAGCTACATCTTTAGTGTGGCAATAGACTGGACCGGGAGTGGAACCCAGTACATTGTGCTTTATGACTGCTTCTGTGATTCCTGAGCCATTGAACTACTTGGGCAAATTCCGTCAGTTACGAAGGTTTAAAGTGAAATACGGTTCTGCAAGGCGGGACTGACGTGCCAACTCTTGCCACCACAGGACGAACGCCGGTCGGATGCTCTGAGCGACCAAATTAGTTGTAATAGCTAGATTACTGAAAGAGCTACGCTCCATTTTGTTAAGGTATCTGAGCCTTAGAAATGTCTGATTCAGCTATGGAGACGGTGAGGCACCGAACTAGGCTTAGTTGATTTTTGTATATGTATTAGTGTACACACTACTCACAACCATCAAACAGTACGAATACATAAGTGTAGTCATCGGAGCAATGAAGTGGGGAACAGTAAGGGGCGGACAGCGATCTGGAGGACACCAAACGAAGCAGTTAAAGAGAACAAGCTGGCAATAGGGAGATTATGCGTCGTAATATGACGTAATAGGTGGTAAATGGGAATAAAAACCAACCGATGAAACATGGATAATAATAATTCTTTCCAAGTTTATGTAGGTGTGCTGAAACAAACTAACATGCCTTGTGACGGGTAAAAATGGTATGCGCATAACAAGTCACCTGGCATACTCGGGGAAAACATTGGAACAGAAAAAGCTATACACACAAGCAAAATAGGAAGTGCATCAGCGTGGCGATATGATATTATTGCAACTGAGAAGCAATGGCGTAGGAACGGGACTACTATGCAACGCCGCGTAAAAATTATTGTTAGTGATGTGGAGAGTTTCGGTGTTGTTCTCTACCAATTCACTGCAATCTACAGTGCATTCCGTCCTTGTTTGGACTCAGTAGATAGAGATAACCTGCTCTGGGAGTAGCACTCGGCACACAGTGGTTGGCGGGTATCGCCGTGAGCACTAGGCCATTGGGTTCCGTGAATAGTGCTTGACACAGTGGTTAGAAGTTTAATTTCGGGTATTGGAGTACCCGTCGTATGTCTTGGATTGCGTAGCACAATCTTACTGGTGACTGATGCCACCTGTAAACAAATGGGTTGCTCATCGGCTTTCAGTGATGCGGTATCTACTATAATTCTAAACAAGCTGGTTCACGGAAATATGTTTCATATATCCGCATTCAGGCAACCAACTGCAGTGAACTAGATGCGACGTGTAAATAGTTGTTGAAGATTTCGTTGCAAACGTTTTGTCACCAATCGAGATGACTTCATCAATGCGTAATAATGTACGGGGTACAAACAACTGAGTTTTGATGTGTTCTATTGCTAGCGAATATGAAAGGAAAGTAGTTTCATCAACAATTACGAAGACTGTGTTGCTCACTTACTTTTTAACAGACACCACTGTTTTTAGCGTTTGGACTGAACTTCAAAACGTGTTGATCTACATAATCGGGACCTCTTAGTGTTTTGTATACTACTTTTAGGTCTCCGCGGAGCAGCCGGTAGCGTCCACTAAGCTCGCGGTGTGTCTCCAGTCATCCAGGGTACGGAAGTTGGTGCAAACATTTACCACACTTCCTCACTCATGGTTGGGTAACCTCGAATACTGGATACTGAGAATAGAGAGCCAGAAGATAAAGATCTGTGTTGCTCTATCGTAGGTGGATCTAGCACATGTGCGGAATCACGTCGTTGATTCCTGCGCGCTGGCAGCATGTTGCAGCTGCACTACATCTTATCCGGGTGCGATACGCTCCCGTAGTGCACGACCGATTTAATCGAAAGCTATGCTGTTCCGGTGCAAGGTAGTTACATTATTCCAAGCAGGCCGCTAGTACATCAGAATTAATAGCTTCTGTGACCTTTGCAAGAGCCGGTAATAAAATTATGGGACGGTAGTTGGCTAGATTGGAACGGCTACCACCCTTGTAAATAGGAGCTATCATCCCATGTTTCCATATATCGGGTACATACGTTTCGTTAAAACAGTGTTCCAAAAATAGTGCTAGTGACAGCTAAACTCTTTCCTACTGCCGCTACCTATTTCATGTGTAAATTATCAACTTTAGGAGAGCTGTGCTGGTGCATACTCAACAAGTATTTTAATACAGCTTCCGCCGTGAAGGATAGGTGAGTGAATTTTGGGGTTGAAACAACCATTGTCTAGGGTTATGTAGCCATTGATCGCACTGAAATGTTGCAGCATTTTGCGAGCGCAGGATATTCGTATCCTCCGGTGTCCGTATAGGTCCATCCGCTGTTTGATTACTGAATACTGATAATAAATAGCGAGGTAAGAAAATTTGTGTTGCTCCATCGCAGGTGGATCGGGCACATGCGCGGAATTACGTCGCTCAATCCTGCGCGGTTGTGGCATATTGCAGCTGCCTTACATCTTATCAGGGTGTGATACGCTCCTTATACCTGTAGTCCGCAAAGTGGACGTCAGGGAATCTCTTAAATTCTGACACTAATTTCGCCTCGACTAGCGTCTTCGGCAATTTGTTCCAATATTTCACCACTGGACGCTCGAAGCATGGAGGGTGAGCGATGTGCTTTAAATCCGGTACCACTAGTTTGTACCGATGTCCGCGTTTGCTGCTTCGTGCACGAACGTGCAGCAGCGGCTTCAACCTAGGGAAGTGGCCCAGGTGCAGTATCTGGTGCGTCATAATGAGATCAACTCGAAGCGGACGATATGACAGAGTATAAAGCCCTAGTCTCCTACATTGGTCTTCGTACGAC